ACTGGGCACCGTCATTAACAGATTTAGGAAACAACAACAAAAACCCAAAAGCCTAATACCTTCATTTTCTCTGGAGAGTTTCTTCTTCAATAACCCATTTTCCCCACAGAGTAATCAAATAAATTTTGCACTTACTGTAAAAGCACCAGTTAGCCTCAACCTCTGGGTCTACTTGATCAAAAGTGAAAGAGCTCAGCATTTCAATTATTTTGCCACATGCCTCTTTATATTGGGACATGAAGAATGAATCTACGAAAGCTCACACAAAAGCACATAATAAAGCACTCTATAAACCAAGCACTTTTGTTTTATCCTATTTTTAAAAAACCTCTGGTCCCAAATCAAGGAGCCTTCACTGGTGCAGTGGTTAAGCACTCAGCTTAAAACAGAAAGGTTGGCAGGTTGAACCCACCAGCAGGGAGAAAGATGTGTCAGTCTGCTTCTATAAAGATTATAGCCTTGGAAACTCTTTCGGCAGTTCTGCTTTGTCCTAGAGTTGATATGTATTAAAATCAACTGGATGGTATTGGGTGGGAGAGTCTCTTAAATCATCTTAATCATTAAAATATTAAGACCAGGAAAAGTATAAATTTTTTGTTCACTCCTTCCTTCACCTATTCTAGACTTTTGTGGTAGGATACAGATTAAGACAAAAACAACAACAAAAAAATTCCTTCACTCTTCTCCAAATTCACTATCAATAGAACCATCTGCAAATATTTGGATAATATAAAAAATAAATTATTTAAAGCTATCAAGTCATTAAATAATACACTGAAATATTATTCAAGTTATTTTTTTCTTGAAAGCGAACTATCTGTACGTTCCTATACAGATCAAGAGTTAACATTCTCCAAGTTAGGAAATACAAAAGGGCTTCAAGAAATTAGTGCGGAAAATGGAATTTAAAAGATAATGGACTATTTCCATGAACTTTTTAAAGCCCCCTCGTGTTTAATGAAACTAAAGCATTCACTATAAAATTTAGGAAGTCATTAGGGATTTAAAATATACTCTTGAATTCAATTTTGCATTAATACAACCAATTTTAATTTCTAAAACAAAAAACAAAATGCTACTATACACTTTATATCTTGAAACTTTTGCGTATTCTGGACAGTTAAGTTTTTTTTTTTACTTTGGTTTTTATGATTCTGAAATATCAGTGTATTTTTAATATACAATGCTATTTTCTTGGAATACTGATGTGGCACTATAGGATAAGCACTGGACTGCTAACCAAAAGGTTGGTGGTTCAAACCAACCAGCCACTCCTCAGAAACCCTATATAGGGTCACACGAGTCAGAACTAACTCTACAGCACTTAACAACAAGCTATTTTCTTAGTGAGGTGGCTCCATGTGATAAGCACTGGACTGAGAACCACCAGGTCTGGTGTTCAAGCCCAGCAACAGTAAAGATGAAGTTTTCTGCTCCTGCGCAGATGTAAAGCCTCAGAAACCCTATACAGGGTTTCTATGAGTCTGAATCCACTAGACAACACTTAACATATTGCCTTAAAATGACTACAGAACTTAAAGCTGAAGTCATTTCATACACTCTAAGTAGCACCATGAAAGAAGAGACCACAGCAATAGCTCAGTTACTTCTCTAACACACATTCACTGAAAAGGGGCTCACTTCAGACTAATTATTACACATATTACAAAAATATATGCAAATCCAAGAATACAATCTCTTCCCCTCCACTGCTTTTCATAAAAAGAAAGAAACATTAAATAATTTAGAACCTCCACAGTACTAAAATCCAAGTAGACTTCAACCTAGTGGATTGTAATAGAAAAGAGCAGTTTCCTCCAACTTTTGTACCTTGAAGGATCTCCTGGTGGCACTGTGGGGTTAGCTACTGGTCACTAACCACAGGGTCTAAGGTTCAAACCCACCAGCCACTTCACACGAGAAAGATGAGGCTGGCTGTTCCTGTACAGATTTACAGTCTCAGAGACCCTAAGGAGCAGATCAACTCTGTCCTAAAAATTGTCTCTGAGTCAAAATTGACATTATGGCAGTGGGAAGTAGGTCTGTGCCTTGAAAATACAATTCTTTAAATACAAAAATTCAACGAAATGAAAATAAATCTAATATCTAAATTTAGTTGTAAATCAGATATAATGTTTTTCAAAGAATACTGGCAGCAAACGGCAGTAAAATGTCTTCCTCCTATAAGAGTAAATTATTCCAGGACATAAATATAAAGCCAGTTTCTCCAAGTCCAGCAGAAGGAGAAGTCTGAAGACTACAGTTGTATTTTCAACCCACAGATACTCCCAAGCGCCAAAGGTAACCTTTAGGTCCCTCCACTAACCAGTGCACGTAAAAGCCTCCAAATTAAAAACATCTTCCCATTATTTAACCCTGTGTCCATATTCCAAGGTTTAAAATGGAAATATTATGGTACTGACGAAAGCACTATTGTCTTCATGTAGCAAATAGCAGATGGATGGTAAATAAAATTACCTACTTCCCGAACCTGTTTTTGGGTGTCATTGAGACCAGGAAAAAGTACTTCAAACAAGAGTGACTTATCTCAAAGGAGACATAAAGTCCAGATACATCACTTCCTGAATTCCAGGTGGTGAAGAATGAAATTTTTGCAAGAGAAAGAAAAAAACGAATACTTCAAATGTTCAAAGGTTTAAATCATAGGTAAAATTTTATATTTCTAGATGCAAATATTAAGCTTGAACTAGGTATAAATTAGCAGTGGCTGTTTGCCCATAGTTTTGAGGTCCAAAAATGCTAAATAATCTACCACAGAAGAAAGGAAACTTTAGAAACTCATCTACGAAAAGCAAAAGAGCAAAATAACAACACTAACAAAAAACTTCTCCAAGCGGGGAGAAAAAGACTAAAGTATGATCTGATTGAGAAAAAGAAAAATGCCTGGAAAGTAAGTGTGTGCGTGTGTGCGTGCGTGCGTGTGGGGGGGGGAGGGGAGGCAAGCAACTTTCCTGGAATGTAAAGGAAGCAAAAAGGTTCTGCTTTGAGGCAAAATGTAACTGTTAAGACAAATGAGAACACACACACACAGCCTGGAAAGCTGTATTGCAACTGACAAGATTATTTCCCCCTGCTAACTTTATCACTACCCAGGAAAACTGGATTTAATCAAAGGCCATGCTCCCCAACGTTTTCCCGCACTAACACACACTGGATGTCAGCAGCGAAAGGGTGGAGGTGACACGGAAGGACGCAACAGCATCTCACTTAAGGAGGCTTGAAGAAACTTCCAAGAGGAAGCACCAGCTCCTCTCCTGGCCCCTGGCACCGGCCGCTGAAGTTGCGCCACAAGCGCCCTTTCCCTGGCGAGTACCCCCAGTCCCCTTCCCCCAGCCCTGCGCACGACTACGCAGCACACAGATCCTTCAAACTGCCCCCCGAAGTCCAACTACGCCTTCACTTCCTCCTCCCCGACCCATCCCAACTTAAGTTCCACGGAAAAGCTCCTGCCCAGAGCTTGGCCTGTTCTGGACAACAGGTGGGCAGTGGCGCCGACAGGGCTGGGCCTCTTCAGGCCAGGCCCACTCCACTCCTCCCCAGCTAGGGCCCAGGGGCACCCGGCTCCGGGACGGGGAGGGGGGAGCTCGCTCCCTTACCTCCGCCATATTTGCCGTACTGGCGGGTCACATCTCCACGACGGCCGCAGCTGGGTCACGGCCAGAACCCGGATGTGAGACTCGGCAACAGGACTCCAGCCGCCAGTGCCGCTCCCGCTACTGCTGCCTCGGCGGGAACGCGCTGGAGCTGCTTGAGCGCGCCCACCACACCCCACTCCGCCCCCTCGCTGCGTGCCGGCTGGGCTGGACTGGAGGGAAAAGGCCGGAGAAAGCGCGCGCGGGAACAGGGACGCGCGCGCGCGCGACCCCGCAGCCAGCCCTTCCCTCCCCGGGAGGAGCGCAGAAGGGCGGAGTCAAGGTGGGTGTGGGGGGAGGTAGGCATCTCCATACAGGGCGCCTTCCCCACCTCCACTGAGCCGGGGTCCTAACTTGAGTAAGGGGCTCTAAGAAGCAGAAGAATCAAGGATAGGTGTAGATAGATAGAGCAGCATCCAGCCTTTCCATCCCAAGAAAAGAAGGGTAGTTTTTGAAGTGCAGTTGTTGCAACAGTGGCAAGTACTGCGCTTTGAAAACGGTTCTCCCTTGACAAATGCCGAGTACTTCTCTCATGGTTGTTTCCCTACAGTAAAGAATCCACATCCCTAAATCTTTAGAGAGAGCAAAGCAAAGAGGTTAAGAAATGGGAGTTCATTAAACCGGTAGTCGGCGATCCCCATTATCTCATTTGCTTTTTAGCTTCAACTACTCCTGTGATGTCAGTAGCAAAATTGACGGGATTTTGCACTAGACCAAAAATTAAATAGGTAGAATACTGAAAAGCTATCCTCTAGTGGATATAAATAATCTCCGCCTTGGCTGCCTAAGGGAGAACCTGCTTATTTGTAATACCTGAAATGTCTGCAATTTGAAAGTGTATTTTAATGTACTGATCTAGAGATGCCAATTGGTCTTGATGCCAGTTCAGATGATTGCCAGAGCCAATGACTGCAAATATATTTTACTTTCACTTTTAGGGCAAATACTGGCAAATGTAAAGAGTATTAAAACGTGCACTAACATATTTTACTAAACCAAGTTAGAAGGTTCTTATCTCAAAAGACCTTTTTTTAAAAAAAATGGTCCTCAATATAGTTTCAAAAATGGCTATCAAAACAACCTGTTAAATATGAGAATTAATCATTCCCTCCAAATACTGTGTCAGTGCTACAATATATTATACATACACATTTTTCTTAAAAATTATGCAATGCAACACGAGAGGTGGTTTTCTTAAAATTAAATGTATTCCCATAAATGTTTAGATTCTGTCAGTTTCCAAAGATTCAACATTAACTTGAAACTTTCTGTGTTCATAATAACTTGTGCACGAACAAACTACATTTACAGATACATGGAAGTAGCTGCTAAGTGAAAGGACATTACCTGGTAATTTGACAGGAAAAGAGTCCACAGACAGTCTGTAAACCAATTAAACATAAACATCTGATGCACATTTTCTACTGAAAGAAAAGCAAGGGAAAGAAGAGAAAGGAAAACTTTAGGGTTCCCAAACTACAAACAATTTTTACCATAAACTGTACTGTACAGTTTTCATTTTATTTAAGAATATTAATATAAAAGTTTTTATCAAGATTCCTTGGGGAAATAAAAATTTTAGCATAGGAATGTAGTTCTTTAGAATGACTCTTCTGACTTGAATTATGTTAGTCCTTTGGACTTGAAATAGAAGACTTTTTATATTATCAGTTCCTTTCCAAGTAGCTTTCACATTCGTACAATTCATGGAAATAACTGAAAGAACAATGGATGCACATGGACCTGAGGTGGGAAAAGACAAAAAGAACAAGAGGTCTAGAGGTAGAAACTCAGGCTTTATACCGTGGGAATGAAGGAGGATTTTCCATTAAAAACTGAAAGCTGACATATGAAATGTAACTGGATCCCCAAAAATCAAATGCAAACATGTTGTCCAATACAAAGAAAAAGACCAACTTACTCGCTTAACTCCATTTACCTTTTATTATTCAGTTAAACCATCAAAATTTATTGTGATGAAGAGTTGAAATCAAAGCCCCTTAAGCTACAAATGATTTCTCTGTCAGGAAAACTGAGGTCTGACATATTAGAATGGACATATATCTTACTACTAAGTGACCTCTACCTGGTGTGGCGCTGTGGGTAAATGTGCTGGACTGCCAGGTCGTTGTGAACCACAAGGTTGGTGGTTCACACTTACCAGCTGCTCCACGGAAATCCTATATAGGGTCACTATGAGTTGGAACCAACTGGACGGCATTTAACAACAAAAATTTACTAATTTTAAATGGCATCAATGTTTGGGGAGAAAAAAGTTCCTTCTATACTTTTTCTCCCTCTTTTGAGGAAATGTGGGTCCAGTGTTTTGTTTTGTTTTTCCAGTTCCGGTATTCTAAAAGAGAAATTGCTGTATACTAATACTACATACAAGTCATCAGTAGCACATTACCTTTTATGAGATCTTTCAAATTTTCAGTAGCCACATTAAGGAAAGCAAAGTCTTTCTCATAACTCTTGCTTTCCCTTCAGTATCAAATGTGTAAAAATTATCTATTGATTGGTCTCAGAATCTTAATGTTGGATGGGACCTTACAGGTAATTAGTTGAGGTAGAAACCTCTCATTATGATTTCTCACCACAAGGCTTTTTCGAGTCTACGCTTGACCATCAGCAGTCACTAACTCAAAAAGCTGCTTCTTTCAGAAAAGCTCTAACATCTACAAAAATCTTCCTTATGTTAAACCAGACTCTACCTCCTTGTTACTTCCATCCATTACCCCAAATTCTTTAGTACTTGGGATTAATTAAAAAGATATCTTCTTTATTTACAATGAAAACCAACCAGTCACAAGTTTATACTTGGGCTAACCAAATCAGTCAATCAATCCTTAGTGCCTACTGATATTAGAAGAGCTGAAACAGGGCCATGGTAGAGCTAAAGGCATGAGAAAATTCACCATTACCTAGAGCCTATTAAAAATTATAATTCATATTATTTATTAATGTGATATACAGAATGGTATTCTGTTAGAATTGTATAGTAGTTAAAAAAAGTTAAATAATTTTTTTAAAGGGCATGGTTAATTCCAATTTTATGTGAGGTTTGTGACTAATTTAGTAAGTCCTAAAGCAAAAAATCACCATACAAAGCCTGAATAAATGCCTCTTAGCTCCCATTCCCCACCTAAAGGCCTTTTTTTTCCAGGCAAACAAGCATTATTTTTTACCACATTAGGCTATTCAAATATGCTGGGCATATTTTTAACCAATTTACTGAACACCACATTAAAAGCTATTAAACAATTTTACAGAGGTTAATACACAGAGAAGAATCCCTTCATCATTTTGCTGTTAACAAAAATATTCTAAGGTCACAATTTTTACTTCAACCACTACTTTCAACTAACCAATAATCAATTTACATATACCTAAGAAACATAACCTTTATTTAGTATCAACCCCAGATTAAAATTTCATATCTATCTACACTATATAAGTATCTGTTATACAACTCAAAAAGGTATCAGTTGCTCTCAAAATGCACCAAGAAAACACTTGTTACGATTTAGACTCTGGGACCATGTGATGATTCAAATAGATGAGCACAGCCCATACCTCTAAAAAATTCCTGTATCTAACAATTTTGAGGACCCATAGGTCTCTTTTGTGATTACTACATTTTTAAACTATTACTTAATATTTATTCTTTACAATATTACATTATCTTCATAATATAAAAACTATGGATAACTTACTAATTTGATTGGAGTTCTGATATGGCGCACTGTAGGATAAGCACTGGACTTCTAGCCACAAGATTCAAACCTACCAACTGCATCTTGGAAACATATGTATATATGGACACTATGAGTCGGAACAGACTCGACAGCACTTAACAACAATACTAATTTGGCTAAAAATACCAGAAAACTCGACTGTGTATAGAATGACATTTAAAACAAACTGAAAACTGAGTTTTAATTTAGTAGGCAGAAAGCAGCTTGCAAAGCACATTACATTTGGAAGTCCACATGTAATGAGACTATCACACCAACATTTTGGTTTGATTTTTATTGCTAATGCCACCCTTAAAACACTTATATAGCCTCTTGGTTCTTTTTAGGTAGTTTTGGTTAGGTTTTTTTTTTTTTTTTTCCCATAATAATTTTACATGAAGTTGTATCCACTGGCCCCATTATATCAAATATTATCAACTAACATTCTTATATTTCTTACATTGTTGACATTGTATTTTTATCTCACCCAAATTCTGGAAATTATTGGCCCATCAGCAGTTCTCAAACACTGGAACATACAAGAAGAGTAATATAATATTTATATTACTTGACGTTGTTTGGATTTTCCCTCCCCTAATCTCAGTGTGCCCCTGCCTACCAGCATCACATCCGTCTTGTCTGCATTGAATCTCAACCAGTTGGTTCTTAACCACGTCCGAAACTCAGCCAGGCACTGGGAGAATCGAGCCACCACACCATCTGGATCAAAGGAAATGAGAGCCTCAGTAGCAACTAGACAGGAATCACAAGCTCATTAACCCTGTTTTACATTTAAAGAGATGGCCAGGAATTACAACAAGGATCCCATGATACTTTTAAGAAAATATGAATGGATCTGGAAGACAAGGATCCCATGATACTTTTAAGAAAATCTGAATGGGTCTGGACTCATGGATTCATAACTAATGGCAAAGAAATAAAAGTGACCCAAGAAATTGTTTTCCTTATTCCACCCATGACTGAAGAAAGGCGGCTTCGGTCAACTCTGGGTCATCTTAGCTAAGCCACCTCAGTACCACACTGGTCCTGTAATTGCATTCGATTTTGTGCAGAATTGGTTTTAGTGTTGGAGGGCAATTTAGGGAAAACGGTGGCCCACAGAAGGGTAGTACTCATCCAAGGTCACACAGCAAGCTAGGACCAGATATGGGCTCCTGGCCAGCAAGCTTTCCCCTACAAGCTGGAAGAACAAGGCCATCCAAAAGCTGGGACAAGAGGGGGCATCTGCTTCAAGGGATCCTCCCACTGGCTAGTAGGACTGCGTTCTCGCACAAAAATTCCCTCTTCGAGTCTGTCTTCCCTCCCTCACCCCCTCCGAAAAATGTAGGTTCATCCAAGACGCTGCTGACCACAGGGGTAGCAGTGTCAGCGAAAGCCTTCCCTTCACTAGCACATAGGAACAGGAGGGAAAATACGAGAGAAAAGAGGCACAGCGACAAAGGGGTGGTCAGCTTAGCCTCGCCCCTGGAGGGGTTAGCAACCGAAATGAAATAAAGGAGCCAAGGCGAACCGGGCTAGGCGAACTCACGCCGCAGCTGATTCCCAGCGCACAGCGAACACCTGGGACCACCCGCACCACCGCCGCCGCTAAAGCAGAGACAGGGCTGAGAGGGGGCGGGGGCGATGGGGAGCTGAGCATGCGCTCTAGGAGGCCAACGCTGCTCTGGGTGGGGAGGCTAGCTAGGCTCGTCTGCATAGCCCCTCCCCGGAAGTTAAGGGTCTTCCGGGCAGCACTATATAGTGGGGGAGGGGAAAGAGAGAAAGGGGACCGAGGACACCGCTGGAGTTCCTTATCCCAAACAGGAATAAGAGGGAAGAGATGGTTTGTGGAGACTGCACTTACAGCTGCTGCCGCCGCTGCCGCCGCTACCCTCACTGCTACCGCCACCGCCAGAAGAAGCCCCATCCATCCGCCTGCAGCCGGGGAGACTCAGAGCCTGGGAGGGGCCTGGGGCCCGAGCCGCCCGCCTCCTCCTCCTAGTCGTCGTCGGGAGCTTCCTCCTCTTCCACCAACCCTCGGCCCTCCCCTCCGCCTCTGCCCTCCTCCTCGGCATCTTGCCGCCAGCCAACCACGCGGCCTCTTGTTGAGCCAGGGCTTCGCCGTCTCCATGACGCCCGGCAAACATTCTGGTGGCACTGCCCGAGCCGCTAACGCCAGGGTTTGGGGTACACAGCATCCAGGAAAGGAGTTGGTCGACCACTCCCCAGTCAGTCGCCACCATGGTCAACTCTCCTCAGCCAAGCAACCGCAAGCCACAGAGCGTCGGGGTGTAAGTTCCGGCCCCTGAATTTGCAAACGAGTTTTCCTCCAAGCTCCCAAAGCGGCGATGGCTCTGTCCACAGCCTTGGACAGCCTTTATCATCTGCCTGTTGCTAGGAGCTTTCATACTATGCCGAGAGGCTCTTTATCGAGGATGTTGGGGATTTGCTTTTTCTAATACCGCTTTCTAGTACCATCGTGCCCCTAAACTTAACCCTGCTTACAACTTTGCTGTACCTGTAACTGCACCGAGGAATTGTCTTCCATTAAACTTTAAATGGACTTTCATACTGCCTTGCTGTGTCACTACAGTCCCCTGGTTCATTCACTCCCACATTACATGTCACAGTGGCCCTTTCTCAAACCTAGAAGGTTTTACCTTCTTCCCAATGCCCTTCCAACTCAGTTATAAGTCTTCAGAGCGTCTTGGAATTTGCTTTCCTTCCTTTCTGTCTTGAAAATGCTCTTCAGGCTTTGTCCACCCTATCACTCCACCAAAACAGCTTTTGTGCAGGCCAACAACTGCCCAGTCGTACCAATCATGAAACTGGCCATTTCCCAACTCGGTCCTGACCCATCAGCAACTTGCCTCGTATTGGTCACTACTTGCGTTTTGAAGCACTTCAGTGGAATTAATAGATACTGGAATTTTTCCATGAGTTTTTTGAAGCCCCTTTGTATTAGTTTTCAATATAATTGCAAATTTCTCCTCATCTCTTCCACATCTAAAATACTGAAATCTCTTTAGGATCAGCCTTTAAACCTCTTCATTATTGTATTATCCATTTAAAAATCACCTGTATATTAATGATTCCCAAGTTTAAATCCGTACCCAAGACCACTCTCAAGAAAATGTTTAAAAACAGAAGAAAGTGTTTTTACCAAAAACAAAATAGCAAAAATCAAATGGACAACGCTGAACAAGCCTCCTATTGTAAAAACAACCCTTAGGAATTGATTGACATCTCAAAACTCATATCTAATACTACACTTATTTCCCCTCCAACCTGTAGTGCAATGTTCCCCATCTCAGTGAATGACAAATTCCACTGTGCCAATTACTCAGGTAAAAACCTTGGGGTTACCCTTGTTGCTCTGTGCCATGGAGTCGGCTCCTACTCATAGTGACCCAGTACAGGGTTTCCGAGGCTGTAAATCTTTACGGGAGCAGAAACGCTCATCCTTGTCCCACGGAACAGCTGGTAGTTTCGAACTGCTGACCTTGAGGTTACCAGCCCGATTCGTAACCACTACAGCTACTAGAGTTCCTCTCATATCCAACTCCATCACAAATTCCTCAGACACCCTCAACAGAGTTGTTGTTGTTATGTGCTTCAACAGAGTAATAGTGTTTAAATCTTCAGTTCAAAACTCTCCTGTAGTTTTTCCAATTTCACTTAAAGTAAAAGTTCACATCCTTACAAGATCCCACATGATCTGACCTTAAGACTCTTTTTCTTGGCTGATTATTCTCCATAGTTTTCCTCCCATCACACGATACTCCCGCTTCAGAACCTGTGCATTTACTGTTCTTTCTGTTTCAAATAACTTGCTCTGAGATAATCTCCAACCTTGTTGGACTTTTCTCCATAAAACTTGTCCCTACATGACTTATTATAAATTTTTTTATGAATCTGACAGCAACCAAGGAATGTTACTACTCCATTAAGGCAGAGATTTGTTCACTGTTAAATTCCTTTTTATTGCCTAGAATGAAGAAGGTACTCAATAAATATTTGTTGACTGGCAGATTGAAAGAATATGTAAGATTATTACTCTTATCTGTTATTGTCGTCACTTTTAGATATCAAAAGTAAAATTAAGTGTTAATTAAAAGCAAAAAGTCATAATAATTCTTAATAATAGATGAAAACGTGTAAGAAAAATTCTTTGGGAATTTCTTTAAATAATGACAGATTCGTAACTAGTTATTTCTATAAAGGTTTGAGTGGGAAATGAGAAGTAGTATATACCATTTACACTTTGAGACAACCATACTATCTAATTAAAACAAAAACTTCACACACTCAAGTTTGCAGCCTGTTTCACCTAATTATTTTTTATCTTTCTCCTTTAAGATTCAGTCCTGATCTTAAGGATCTAACTAAATTAAACATATTTATCCATTTCCCACTTTCTCACTCCAATTTTTCCTGTATTGGATTCTTCTTGTTAAATATCAGTTCTTAACAGGCCTCCCATTGTAGGAAAAAACAACCACTAACTCTTCACAAATTCTTCCCACCTGAATTTGAAGATCATCTGAAGAACAGATTTGATGCATTAAGCACTAAAGACCGAAGACCAGAAGAGTTGTGGGATGACATCAAGAACATCATATATGAAGAGAGCAAAAAGTCATTAAGAAGACAAGACAGAAGGAAAAGGTCAAAATGGATGTCAGAGTAGACTCTGAAACTTGCTCTCTAGTGTAGAGAAGCTAAAGCAAATGGAAGAATTGAAGAGGTCCAAGAGCTGAACAAAAAATTTCAAAGATCAGCTTGAGAAGATAAAACCAAATACTATAATAAGAACACGGTCAGCATTTCTCAAACTGGGGGACCTGAAGAAAAAATTTAAGCCTCGACTTTCATTATTGAAAAATTCTCTGGGCAAATTATTGAATAATGCAGAATGCATCAAGAAAAGATGAAAGGAATACACAGAGTCATTGTATCAAAAGGAAATGGTTAATGTTCAACAATTTCAAGAGGTACCATATGAACAAGAGCCAGTGATACTCAGGGAGGAAGTCTAAAGTGCATTGAAAGAATTGGCAAAGAATAAGGCACCAGGAATTGATGGAATAAAAATTGAAATCTTTCAAGAAAGTGAGGCGGCACAAGAGGCACTCACTCATCTCTGCCAAGAAATTTGGAAGACAACTATCTGGCAGACTGATCGGAAAAGATCCATATTTGTGCCCATTCCAAAGAGGTGATCCAACAGAATGTGGAAATCATCGGACAATCTCTTTGATATCTCAAGTGAGTAAAATTTTGCTAAAGGTAATACAGAAAAGGCTACAATCATACATTGACAAAGAACTTCCAGAGGTTCAAGCTGGATTCAGAGGAGGCCGTGGAACGAGAGATATCATTGCTGATGTCCGATGGATCTTGGCTGAAAGCAGAGAATACCGGAAGGATGTTTACCTATGCTTTATTGACTACGCGAAGGCTTTTGATTGTGTGGATCATGACAAGCTATGGAAAACGTTGAGAAGTATGAGTATTCCAGAATACTTAATTGTACATTTGAGAAATCTGTACCTAGACCAAGAAGCAGTTGTTCGAACAGAGCATGGGAACACTGAACGTTTTTAAATTGGGAAAGGTGTGCGACAAGGTTGTGTTCTTTCACCATACTTATTCAACCTGAATCCTGAACAAATAATATGAGAAGCTGGATTCTATGAAGAAAAACGTGACGTCAGGACTGGAGGAAGACTCATTAAGAACTTGCGATATGCTGATGATACAACCTTGCTTGCTGAAAGTGAAGAGGACTTGAAACATTTACTGATGAAGATCAAAGAGCACAGCCTTCTATATGGATTGCATCTCAATGTCAAGAAAACAAAAATCCTCACCACTGGACCAATAAACAACATTCTTATCAATGGAGAAAAGATTGAAGTTGTCAAGGACTTCATTCTTCTTGGATCAACTATCCACACTCAACGAAGCAGCAGTCAAGAGATCAGGCGACGTATTGCTTTGGGCAAATCTGCTGCACAGGAACTTTTTGAAGTATTGAAGAGCAGAGATGTCAGCTTGAGGACTAAGGTGCGCCTGACCCAAGCCATGGTATTTTCAATAGCCTCATATGATTGCGAAAGCTGGACAGTTAATAAGGAAGATCGTAGAAGAATTGATGCCTTTGAGTTGTGGTGTTGGAGGAGAATACTGAAAGTGCTATGGACTGTCAAAAGAACCAATAGATCTGTTTTGGAAGAAGTGCAGCCAGAGTGCTCCTTGGAGGCCAAGATGGCTAAGCTTCATCTCTCATACTTTGGACATATTGTCCGGAGGGAACAGTCGCTGGAGAAGGATGTCATGCTGGGTAAGGTGGAAGGTCAGAGAAAAAGGATTGGCCAGGTGGCATCATTGATGGACTCAAGTGTGGCAGCAGTAGTGAGGTTGGCCCAGGATCGGACATTGTTTCGTTCTGCTATACATGGGGTCGCAATGAGTCAGTTCCGACTTGGTGGCACCTGACAACAACAACTCTTCATGAACCTATTTATCCCACATCTGACATTTCTATATTCTACTTCCTTTTGTGCTCACTTTTTAAACCTTGTAATCTGCTTTCTCCATTAGTATACAGAAACTGCACAAAGGTCAACAAGGAATAACCTAAAAATTTCCAAAAGTCAGCAAAGACAACAGGCTTTGTTATTTTCTTTCCTTTCTTCAGGGTTTGGCAAAATTGATTGTCCTCTTCTGAAGATTTCTGGTTTACTTAGTACGAATGCCATTTTTCTGGTTCTTGCATGTTCTGCTGTATCTTGCATTTGCTACTACCATTTTCTCTCCTTGGTCCTATTCCATCCCTTGATATCATCAGGGTTTTACTATGGAACTAAATTCATTGATTACCACATCCATGAAAAAATCTCAAATCTGAATCTCCAGCTCACACTTTTATTACCTCAAATTCAATTTACTTTCCTACATTTTCAGCTGCTGCCAGACAGATCTGCCATTTTATCACTGTAGTATATAGAACTACATATGTCTAAAAGTGAACTCTTTCTTATACTGTAGAAGTAAAGACCAACTTATTCATCACTCTAACTCAATGAGTCAGTAACTATATATATAACCTCAGTGTGTAGATTCCTTATCTATTTAAACATTTGCCCAGGAACATAAAGCCTGTTAATTAGATAAACCTGGGCATGTAAATTGACCTCTTGAAGTTTGTTCTCATTTGTTAAAATATGGCTATTAAGTAGCCCACATTTTTAAGGATTGACATAGAAAATATAGGTATAATTGCTTT